TTAAATATCCAAATACTGAACATTTAAAGGTTGTTTCCTCTAATCACTAGAGATTCCTTAATGTCATCCAAAGCCAACACACCTATGAATCTCCATTTTCAAAACACCTCTTCTGTACTAAGTTTAAATCATGATTTCCTTCTTCAAAGTCCCTACTCTGCAAGAGGGTAAATACATTGCTATGGTTCATGTCTTGATGTAAAAGGGAACGTACCCCCCCTCACTGTAAAGAACGAGGCACTGATGGTCTAGAAGCCATGGTTTAGGATAACGTTTAGGAAAAGTTGTTCTGGAAATCGGCCTTATGCCGGAAAATGAGCCGTGGCTTGGCAGTAAGCAGAAAAGGACACGTGCTACCTTGGGATTTAGCTTGGAGAAAAAAAGAGAGAAGGCTAGAAAGAAACTAGCTGGTGATAAAAATAAAAACAATAGTGTCTGCTATATTCTAGGCACATCCCCAAGAAGGTCACAAGTATTGTCATGGGATTCTCACAACAGCCCAGGAAGCAAAGACCGAATGCACTTTACAGAGGAGGAAGTCGGGTTTTGGAGGCCACCAGCCGGCAACGTCAGGGATGCACAAAGCTCGGCGGCCTGGAAGGTGTAGCCCCAGGAGACCACGGACCAGCAGAACTGTCGGGAGACAAAGCCAGAGCAGCTCCTCGTTCGATGCCACTGATTTTAGTTAAAAAAAAAAAAAAAAATCACAGCCAAAGGAGCCTAAGGAGATATGACAGCCACATGATTTGCGGTATCCCGCATGGGATTCTGGAACAGAAAACGGGCATTAGGTGAAAACGAAACAAGTATGAATCAAGGTTGGGCTTTAGTTAAGAATTTATCAATATGGGTTCATTCACTGTGGCAAATGTATCATACTGAGTTTTTTAAGCCTGGTTTTTAGAGAATGATTAACACTATGGAAAACATCTGATTCCTAAGAATTAGGAGACACGTTAGTATAAAATTGGATTTTGAATGGTTTAAGAACACTGATGGCGGAGAACCGCGGCCACCTCTCTGACGGCGCTTGGCCGAGTCTCACGGCCACCACCATTCCCCGGGGCGGGGGGAGCACCATTCCCCGGGGCTGGGGGAGCTGCGACGCCGCACCCTCTGTTCACCCGCCCGGGGCCGCGCCGCCCTCCGCCGCTGCACTGCACTGCTGGGTCCCGCCAGCCCGGCCTGATGGCGCAGATGGGGCCGGCCCCTGCAGATGGGGCCCTGCGCCGACGAGATCCCGCAGTTCCCCGCCCGCTCCACCACTCAGAGTGACCTGTCCCTGTGTGAGGGCTCGAGGGAGGCCCTGAAGCACTGCAAGGCCAACCACGGGCTGGGCTCCCTGCCCCGAAGGGACAGGTGCAGATTCTGCAGATCCATGGGCCAGCCCCGCACCCACCTTCACCCTTTCACCGACAGCCGGACCATGACTTCAGAGTGTACCCATGGAGCTGGGATTGGGAGAGAAGAGGGGGTTTCGCACCCCACAGATGACCGGAGACGCAAATGTGCTGTTAAAAGACTTGGTTTAGGGTGCCTGGGTGGCTCAGATGGTTAAGCATCTGCCTTCGGCTCAGGTCATGATCCCAGGACCCTGGGATCGAGTCCCACATCAGGCTCCCTGCTCGGAGGGGAGCTTGCTTCTTCCTCTCCCTCTGCTGCTCCCCCTGCTTGTGCTCTTTCACTCTCTGTCAAATAAATAAATAAAATCTTAAAAAAAAGACTTTGGTTTAGACCAAAAAAAAAAAAAAGAATATTGATTGCCAACATAAGAAGGGAAAGGAAACCATCAAATGATTTAAATAGCTCAAATCCAGATATTTTGTATTAGGAGAAAACATCATCCATACTATTTGTTCTGCTGAGACTTCTCTACTTCTTTCTCTTTTGTTCATGATGATTCACACACACACACACACACACACACATTCAACTCTGTATTAACAGTTTATGTTACGTTAGTACAATTACTCAAGGCATGTTCTGCCTGTACTGAACTCTTTGTGGCTTATCTCAGCTTGATCCTCTAAATCCTGTGGGAGCGGTCCTATAGTTCCCATTCTACAGGACTGCACGGGACAGCCTGACTATAGGCAATTCACAGCGGCACATTGTAAGGCTATGCCAAACCACACCTTGTTCCTCAGCTGATGCCACATCAACATATCAAACAGGTGAACAACTTAATGCTATTGTACCAATGAGCTAAGATCACATCATTCAAGGGACAAAGAAAGTAACTCTGCCAAATTAGTATGTCAAGTCTATTTAACAAGACAGGGTGTGTAGGAAATTGAACATGTTCCAAGTAATTTGAGGTTTAGGAAAACATCAAGATGATGATTTTAAGTTCTGAAGTAGCCTTGTAATAGGGGTGCCTGCCTGGCTCAGTCCATAGAACATGGACTCTTGATCTCAGGGTCATGAGTTCAAGCCCCACATTAGGCATAGAGCTTACTTAAAAACAAATAAAATAAATAGCCTTGTAATAGAGCTGGCAGAAGACAAAAGACTAAGTTAATGAGTTCCACTGACTTCAATTATAAATTAAAGAAACTTGAGAGTAAGCTGGAATTAACAAGCAGGAGCTCACTGCAGAGTTCTAAGTCTTGGGGGGGAAACACACACTTTTTTATCATGAATAATATGGTAATTTTGGAAAGTTTGGAAAATGAGAAAATAGTTAAAATCACTCACAATCTCCATACGTAGAGAGAGGGGCAGACCCAGGTCTTTTAAGAAATTGCACGTTTCACAAGGACACACAGCCAGGGTGTTGAACGGGGTCATGGAAGTGTGGGACCCTAACGCTTAAACTTCATTCGCTTGAAGGTGGGTCCATCTATGCCCAGCAACAATCCATGTTGTCCGCTCTTAGAGCCAGTCCGCTTGGGTTTGAATCTAGGCAACATCATTTCCTACCAAATAACCTTCAGCAAACTGCTTAAGCTTTGCTGTGCCTTAGATTTCTATTTGCAATATGGGGATAATACCAATCTCAGATGATGACGAAGTTTAATTTAGAACATAGTTAAAAACTTAAGCTCTTACGGTCTTTTCTAAACACATAACGTATACACGTTTATAAAACTCACTCATTTCATGCATAAATATTTTTCCATGTTTTTGGGTCTTTCAGGAGACCCAGTATTATACTTAATGTGTAACCTAAAGATTCCTCAATTGGACATTTTGGGTGTTTAAAAAGAGAGATGCTTAGGGGCCTCTGGGTGGCTCAGTTGGTTAAGCATCTGACTCTTGATCTCAGCTCAGGTCTTGATTTCCGGGTCATGAGTTCAAGCCCTGCTTTGGGTTCCATGCTGGGCATCGTGCCTACTTTAAAAAAAGTGGGGGAGATGCTTAACATCAGGTGGCTTTGCCTGTTGAAAGCACTAGAGTCACCTTCAAGGCCAAAGGCTGGTAACATTTTAAGGAATAAGCCAAATGGACATAGATCTTTGACAAATCAAAGACGTCAATTAAGAGGGCTTGTTGGGAAACAAGATGCATACTGCCTTCAGGTGGAAGACAAAGTCAGTAGTATCTCTTGGAGTTGTACATGGCTGAGGCCTCAAGAGCAGTGGGGAAGTAGTTGGTACTAGATGGAACCTTCTAGGGGCCCTTTCCTGAAATCTAGGTTAACATGAAACAGGGAAGATGTGGAAGAGGGTAATTCCTTTGCCCAAAATTATTGAGAGGCAAAAGTGGAGGTCAAAGACAAGTTTGGTAAATCCTGAAGCCTGTTCATACGTCTAGCTACCTTTAGGTAGTGAGTCCAGTCTAAGCCCGGTTTCCCTTGTGAATAGCTGTGAGGCCTTGGGCATGTAACCTAACCTCCGTACTGGCGTAAACTGAGATATCTCTGTACCTTCAGGGGAGCGTTAGCTATTGCATAACCTTTCACGGTGTGGCATGCTAAGGCATGTTAGTTTGGGAGCATTTTAATAAATATGTTTCTCATACATGAAGTATAAAGGCTTAGAGCTACATTGAGTGGTAGAATTTGAATTTCTAAGGCCATAAGTAATATATATTTTTTTACCAGCTCCTAGAAGTGGGAAGGAGCCTAGCTTTGTTTCCTTTCCCCTAAGTCCTTCTTCAAAGTGTTGTACATAAGTCACACACCAAGTTAGAATTGAAAATACATCCCTCTGGCTGCAACTCTGAGCAATTACAATAATCTGAATCACTGTTTTTTTACATTAAAAGAATGTCAATCGTAGTGATCATTTTCCTCCTAGGAACCAAAATATCCTTCACTTGCAAGTTGGATTCATAACCTTAGTCTAATTATGAGAAAAACACGGGACATAGCCCAGTAGACGGGCATCATGTAAAATACTTGTCCAGTACCCCTCACAACTGTCAAGTCCTCAAAAACAAAATCTGAGAACTGATCACAGCCAAGGGAGCCTAATGAAACATGACAAATAATATAAAATGGTGTCCTGGATGGGCTCCTGGAACAGAAAAAGGGCATTAGGTCAAAACTTGAGGGACTCTGAAGAAGCTATGGATGGGAGTTAACAGTAATATCAAGATTGGGTCATTATAACAAATGTTTTATACTAATGTAAGCTGTTACTAATGTAAGCAGTTAATAGGCAAAATGGAGGAATATATGGGAACTCTAAGAGCTTCTCAATCTTCTGTAAATCTAAAAATTCATCTAAAATGGAAGTCTATTTAAAAAATTTTAAGTCTACAGGTATACACAGTAATATGAATGTATAGAAAGGGGCACCAGGCTGGCTCAGTCGGTAGAGCGTGTGACTCTTGATCTCGGGGTTGTGAGTTCGAGCCCCAAGTTGGGTGTGGAGATTAGTGAAAATCTTTAAGATAAATCAATCAATCAATCAATGAATAGAAAAAAGTCTGGAGACTCTGAACCAATACTACTTTTATGGTAATTTGCCTACCCTGTGCCCTAGGAGTTGCTTCTATGGAAGACATAACCATATAGCACTGGAGGGGAAGATAAAAGAGAAAGTGGAAACCAGTTGAGGCTCATCTCTTAATCAGCAGAAAAGTTTTATTTCTTTTAAGGACAAACAAACCACATCCAAGGCCTTAACTTACAGACGCAAACCAAAGTAGTAGCCATTTAAAGCATTAGCTATTGAGGTACAATACATACATGGGGGGGAGGGGAATGCTTCACCATCTGAAGCTTATACCAAACTGCTCGATCGACAGCTGAGCTCTGCTAGTGCTTGGGTGTGGCCGAGGGGAAGAGCGTAACTGCAGAACCAAAGGAGAACAGCTGTGTTCCGCAAGTACTGAAGCATTCTGGACTGCATTGGTGAGGGTGGGTTTCACATATAAGGGAAAGGGGTGGGAAAAGGCTACATCCCCCCAGGGCATTAGGCTGCCTTGCAGAGGGCCACAGCAGAAAAGCGGACCTCCCCTTGCTCACGCTCGGTGAATTCTCTGCAGACCTTGGCGGCATCCTGAAAGGAGAAAGGTCATTCATATCCAAACAGCAGCGGCTCAAAAGGAAGTTCCAACAGGAAAGTTAACGGTAAGGCGCAGAGGTCACCCTGATCAACTTCAAACCTCCCATTAAACTTGTAAACCAGGGCTGGCTTCAGACCAAAAATAAATAAATTAATTAATTAAAAAAAAAATCAGGTGTTGGGCAAGACAAGAACTCATGCACAGACTTGACTTTAGAAGCTTTGACTTATTTAAAACTTTCACCAAGTGCTCTGGGCTTCCTCCACCTTGTGCCTGGTTTTGACAAGAAAACTACATACACTAGGAATGCACTTTTCCTCAAATAGCAACAAGGTAAAAAATAGATCCTCTCTCCCATTAGGGGGCCTAAGAAAAAAGTTCCCCTAACTCAAGAAATTCCAAGTAAACACAAATTCCTTTCAAGTAAACATTTTACGGAACAGCCTTAAATGCCTGGTGTTCCAGGTGTTAATGACTTATCCATGGTGGAAGGACATGTGTTACTAGTTCTAAGACCCAGATTACAAAGATTGGTAATAGAAAATTGATCCCAAATTCTAGGGTTTAAACGCCTTGGCATAGTAAATATCAATCACTGCTTCATCTGTAAAAAGTCTAGTGGAAAAATAGCTCCACAAACCATATGAAATATAAGACCTTTAAGAGGACAGAACAGTCATGACGCATCACTCCCAAGGTCTAAAAACCATCGACTCCATGAGCTGGCCCTTAAAAGGCATCAGCCACATCCAGTTTTGCTCCTGCTTTAGAACCAGTCTAGAGGGGATTCTAGATTGACATCTACATATTTCATTCTCAATCAGAGTTATTATACTGCTATTCCAGACCTTTCCTGTAGGACCCACACGGATAACGACTATTAAAAGGTGTGTCTATAAAGGGAATAGTCATTCATCTCCTACAGACCATGAGCAGTGACCTCAGAATTCATGGGTTAAGTTTATGTCATTTCTTACCAGTTTAGCAACAATTTACTATATACTTCAGACAACCTAATACAGCTTCAACCATATACAACCAGCCTTACTTAGGATAAGAATTTTCACTAATTAAGATGCTGGTTTATTCCATTTAAGTGAGATTCTAGTTAGTTTTTATTGTTTTTTTTTTTAAACAGGGTTTTACCTTCCCCACACCTCATAAATTCTACTCAAGTAACAGTTTTTGGTATCCTATGTGGAGTACATTTTTGTGGTATTAGCAGTGTTCAATACGGAAGTACCTTAGAGCTTTATTAGAAGGACCAGTCTTTCCCCCAAATGGGTCATCACCAGAAGTTCTGCCTCTTACTCTCTCCCCTAAGTAAATTCTACTGCAAATCACCCTCAATCCTGCTTTTCTAGATCCATTTCTCATTCCATATTACTACTCCCATATGCCCCTCGTATATCCGAGAATTAGCTCTAACTGATCTCAGGTGTGTGTGACAGCAGGCTAGAGAAAAGTGACCCTCCCTCCTTTGCGGCATAATTTGGTCCACCAGCACCTTGAGGTCATGAGGTTTAGGACATTCCAAAGCCAGGTCTATTACCCAGGAAGGTAGTACTGAACAGTGGCTAGGATTGCCCAGATTTTGAACCACGGTTTTGCCATTTAAGTCATCGACCCTGAGCATCACTTAACCTCCTGTACCTCAGTTTCCCCACCTGTAAAATGTGGGTATAATACCCACCTCAGAGCCTCATTAAAAGCATTCTCTAAAAGCTAGAAGTCACTTAGAATAGCACCTAGCACAGGGGTCAGCAAACTGTAGCCTGCTGCCTATCTTTATGAATAAAGTTTTAATAGAATACGGCCACATATTCACTTAGACGTGGTCTCAGAATGGAATACAAGCATACCTCATTGTATTGCACTTCGTCTTACTGCACTTCTCAGAGACTGCATTTTTACAAATGCAAAGTTTTTAGCAACCCTGCATCAAGCGAGTCTACCAGCACCTTTTTTCAATAGCATCTGTGTTTCTGTGTCACATTCTGGTGATTCTTGCAGTATTTCAAACTTTTTTCATTGTATTTATTATGGTGATCTGTGATTAGTGATATTTGATGTCACTATTAAATTGTTTTAGAGTGCTACAATCCACATCCATACAAGAGAGCGACCTCAATCAATAAATGTTGTGTGTGTTCTCACTGCTCCGGTGACCAGCTTTTCCCCCATGTCTCTCGCCCCTCAGGCCTCCCTGTTCCGAGATGATATTGAAATTAGGCCAATTAATAACCCTACAATGGCCTCTAATGCGTTCAAATGAAGAGTCACACATCTCTCACTTTAAATCCAAAGCTAGAAATGATTAAGCTTAGTGAGGAAGGCACGTTGAAAGTTGAGATAGGCTAAAAGCTAGGACTCTTGTGCCAAACAGTTAGCAAGTTGTGAATGCAAAGGAAAAGTTCTTGAAGGAAATTAAAAGTGCTACCCCTGTGACCACATGAATGATAAAAAAGCAGAACAGCCTTATTCCTGGCATGGAGAAAGTTTGAGTGATCTGGACAGAGGATCAAACCAGCCACAACATTCCCCTAAACCAAAGCCTAATCCAGAGAAAGGCCCTAACTCTTCAATTCTGTGAAGGCTGAGAGAGGTGAGGAAGCTGCAGAAACGTCTGAAGCTAGCAGAGGTTGGTCCAAGTTTAAGGAAAGAAGCTGTCTCCATAACATCAAAGTGCAAGGTGAAGCAGCAAGTGATGGAGAATCTGCAGCACATTATCCAGAAGATTAGCTAAGATCATTAATGAAGGTGGCTACACTGAACAACAGACTTCCCACATGGATGACCTAGGCTTCTATTGGAAGATGATACCATGTAGGACTTTATAGCTAGAGAGAAGTCAATGGTTGGGTTCAAAACTTCAAAGGAGAGGCTCTCTTATTACGGGCTAATGCAGCTGGTGATTTTAAGTTGAAGCCAATGCTCACTTACCATTCTGAAAATCCTAGGGCCCTTAAGAAGTAGGCTACATCTGGAAAAACAAAGCCTGGATGACAACACATCTGTTATAACATGGTTTACTGAATATTTTAAGCCCACTCTTGAGACCTCCTGCTCAGAAAAAAAGATTTCTTTCAAAAGGACTGCTCATTGACAGTGCACCCACACAGTTCTGATGGAGATGGACAAGATTTGTGTTTTCACGCCTACTAAATAACGTCTACTCTGCAGCCCCATGAATCAAGAAGTCATTTCAACTTGCAAGTCTTTTTAAGAAACACATTTCGTAAGGCCATAGTGAGTGATTCCTCTGATGGAGCCGGGTAAACTGAAAATCTGCTGGGAAGGATTCACCATTCTAGAGGTCATTAAGAACATTCCTGATTCATGGGAAGAGATCGAATATCAACCTGAACAGGAGTTTGGAAGACATGAATTCCAACCCTCATGGGACTCTGAGAGGTTCAAGACTGAGTGAAAGAAGTACCTGCAGGTGTGGTGGAAAGAGCACAAGAACTAGAATGAGAAGCAGAGCATGAAGGTGGGACTGAATTGCTGCCATCTCATGAGAAAACTTGAATGGATGAGGTGTTTTCTCATCATGAGCAAAGAAAGTGGTTCCTTAAGATGGGATCCACTGGTGAAGATGCTGTGAAGGCTGCTGAAATGACAACAAAGGCTTTCGGGGCTAGAATATGACATAAACGAAGTTGATAAAGCAGCAGCAAGGTTTGAGAGGATTAACTCCAATTTTAAGAAGTTCTACTGTGGGTAAAATTCTGTATCAAAAGCATCATATGCTACAGGGAAAACATTCATGAAAGGAAGAGTCCATGGATGCAGCAAACTTCACTGACGGCTTATTTTAAGAAATTGCCACAGCCACCCCAACCTTCAGCAACCACCACCCGATCAGTCAGCAACCATCGACATGGAGGCAAGACCTCCACCAGCAAAAACTTTACAACTCAGAAAGCTCACATGATGGTAGGCATTTTTTTTAGAAATGAAGTATTTTTAATTAATATATGCACACTGTTCTTTTAGACAGAATGCTATTGTACACTTAACAGACTACAATGGAGTACGAACAGAACTTTTATATGCACCAGGAACTAAAAATTTCATTTAACTCACTTCATTGCAATATTCGCTTTACTGCAATGGTCTGGAACTGAACCCACAACATCCCTGAGGTATGCCTGTCCTTGCAACAGAGCCAAATGCCACACGAAGCCTGAAATACTTTCTACCTGGCTCTTTACAGAAAGTTTTCCAGCCCTTCATCTGCACACAGCAAGCACTCAAAAAAGATTAGTTATTACTGCAAATGAAGTACTTACACCTTAACAGCATTTTTTCTTATCACAATTAAGCAACTTCCCTTTATAACAGTAAATTGATTCAATTCTAGAGACTTGTTTTTAGGGGGAAGGGGCCCCAGGTAGTCTATCAGCCCTTGTCCAGAACTAAGAGGTCTCTGGAATCCTTTACAGTAGGACAGTGATCCTAGATCTTAAAGTTATCGAGGCAGGTTCTGAATCTGCTCCTCTCATCCTCTAACAGTGGCCCCAGGAGAAGAAAAAACTGAAGTCGACGGCCCAACTGGAATCCCTAGTACACCAGCTTAAGACAGACCCTAATCCAGCAGTGTGACAGGGATTAAGAAAGGCTCAAGTTGGGGGGCGCCTGGGTGGCTCAGTTGGTTAAGCGACTGCCTTCGGCTCAGGTCATGATCCTGGAGTCCTGGGATCGAGTCCCACATCAGGCTCCCTGCTCGGCAGGGGGGTCTGCTTCTCCCTCTGCCCTCTTCCCTCTCGTGCTCTCTCTCATTCTCTCTCTCAAATAAATAAATAAAATCTTTAAAAAAAAAAAAAGAAAGGCTCAGGTTGGGTCCCTTGAGTGGTTAGCTGTGATGTAATCTGACAAGAGGACAATGGTCACCTTAATCCCACAAGGAAGTAAAGCAATGGCTTGCAGGCTAATTCTAACCCTGGACTAAAGTCAGCACACGATACAGATCAGTCAGGGCTGCTCTGGAGGATCCTGTTTAAGACCATTTGCTAGAAAATACAGTAGACAGAATTACTAAAATAGGGGCGCCTGGGTGGCTCAGTCGTTAAGTGTCTGCCTTCGGCTCAGGTCATGATCCCAGGGTCCTGGGATTGAGCCCACATCGGGCTCCCTGCTCCGCGGGAAGCCTGCTTCTCCCTCTCCCTCTCCCCCTGCTTGTGTTCCCTCTCTCGCTATCTCTCTGTCAAATAAATAAAAATTTAAAAATCTTAAAAAAAAAAAAAAATTACTAAAATAATCTTTAAGCCCTAAAGACTGCTATTAACCCAGACGATGGGGTGCTGGCTGCCCTGAAGAAGTACTACCACCTGAGACAATATGGCCAAAGAAAGGTGGGCCTCAGTGGAAGATGGGTTCCAAAGATTACCTGCAGCAAGGAGTCCTCTGAACTGGTGCCATGGTTTACCGGGAAAGGCATTCGTCCATCTGGAACAGAGAAGCCAGGCAGCTCAACTTTCTCTGCAGATTTTCTGGCTGCCGTGCTTACCCAGCCTAAAGAGAAGTTTTCCATCTCCCAAATACCACTGCCACTCCCACAGAGGAAGGCTGGTCAGAAGCAATCGGATGGAAAGGAAGTTCGAATGCTCCTGGATACCCACCCGGGGCAATTCTAATCCTCAAGCAACAGGACCACACAAGCCCAATGTGGTCACCCTAACGGAAAGGCTTGGGCCACATCTCCTGGGAAGGGTCCCAGAGCAAAAGGCAGACGCAGCCTCTGAGGTACCGAGGAGGTGGAGCCAAGAAGGGATCTTTCGGATCTCACTGCCCCTTAATGACTGCTTACTGGCCCCAAGTCTCCTTCGCTCTTGTCTGCTTATAGGTGGTTCTCGAGGCAACATGGCTGCAAGTCTTCATTAATACAAAGGGGATGACTTTTACCAGATGGCTATCTTTCTTGTTGGCATATACCAGCTAAGAGAAATTACCCCCCAACATGTCCAAATTCTTCCTATGCAAACAAGATCACATTGAGGCATTTATCTTTTTCCAAAAGTATTCCTTGTCAGGATGCTGCGGGAGATCCTACAGTGGTAATGCTGTAGGGGAAGGTGGGAAGAGAAAACCTGAACACGGATGCCTTGAACTGGCACGGATCTCTTTGCCGGTTTGGGACTAAAACCATTCTTTCTGCAGGTCACTGCCTGATGGGTGGTGGAAGTGCTCTGTGTGAAAAAGGGGTAAGTGCCCCAGTGAGAATACCTTGTTGTTTTGGCTTTGTGAACAAAGACACACTTCATAAAGATACGCTAACTGCCACAAAGTCACGCACCAATACCGTAAGAGGAATTTCATCTGGAAGAATGCCTGAAACTATGTGGGGTTCCAAAAATGGAGTGAAACCTACCAAGTTCGTAGAGATGGCCATCCACGTTGTTAAACAGAATAAAATGAAAATTCACTTTGTCATCTACCTGAGGAGAGTCAAGAAATATTTTTGAAGATGAGTTTTGATTGTACTATATACTGCATTAAAAATGTTTTCCTTCAGCTTTACTGAGATACATGACATAATATTGTGTAAGTTCAAAATGTATAACATGTTGATTTAATACACATATTTTGCAATATGATTTTAAGAACAGAACTTAATTTATTAAAAATAAATTCTGTCACTCTTTAAGTATAATGCGCTGGAACTGACTTGCTTATTATTTTTAATTAGCATAGCTAACACTTATGTATTTCCTATATACTAGACAATATTATAAGACTATCATAAAACCTTAATCTATTAAAATAAATATAGTAACTATCAGAAAGCTATGACTTTTTCCTGAGGAGGAAATTCAGGCTTAGGAAGGATTAAGTATTTCACCCAAGGTCAAGACTAGAAAGTGGTAGGGCCAACAGTAGTTATAAAGGCACGGATACAGACTTAAATCTAATTAACTGTTGATTAAAGGACTGTGTTCAGGTTAACGATATATTTAAGCCTTCTAGAAACCATCAGTCCTTGCTGGTAATCTTACTCTCTCCAACAGTCTGTGGGAAGAGTATGTGAAATGCTCAGTTGCCAGGAGGGGGATATTCCTCTCAGAATCATTTGGATCTAAACAAAATACTGTTTGAATTTACTCAAGACTATGTTTACTGCCAATTAGATTTCTGAAGAGCCATTTCAACGAATAGGTCCGATCAAAGCATGATTCTGGAAGAGTTTTCTGGGCTTCATTGGTCTTAATTGGCCTTGGGTGGAAAGGTCTGCTGTGTTCAGGTAAGAGGTTCCTGTATGTATTCCAGGGGAGACAAAGAGCCGCCTGGGCAGCCTGGCTCTGATCTGTAATTGCATTTACCCGACATTGGCCTTCCTGTGCCACGGCATCATGGGCTGCCTGAATGGCCTGCAGACAAGAGAGAATAATGAGCACAAAAACCTCTGTAGTCATTTAAAACTGACGCTCTGGAAGTAATTTTCCTACCTCGTTCTTTTCAAAGCATTTTGCTCGGTCTTCAGGGGACAGCTTCTCCGTTTCAGAAAGAAACTGTTTCAGGACTGACCCATCCTCTTTAAAAAAAAAAAAAAAAAAAAGCACATTAGTAAAGACAGAATAGTGCAAATGGGTGCACATTTACAGCACACTTAGGCTGTTACACAGCCAGCCACGTTCGGTGACTGAAGTCTTTACTATGGCCCTGGAGGGGTAGATGAGCTGTCCCTTCTCCCTCAGCCTCTTTCCAACCAGTCCCTTCTCCCTGCATTCAAGCCGATGAACTCTCCGCTCCTCCAGAGGGCGCCAAGCCCTCTCCTGCAGCTCTTCCCAGCCATCCGGACGCTTTTCCCCTCCCACCTCACACTCAACCTCTCAAATCCCCATCACCTTCCTTACGGTGCTTATGCATTTGGAACATGTATTTGTGAGATCTGTCTTGCTATAAAGGCAGGGACTGTCTTGTCTATTGCTAATTGGATTTTTTTTTGGTTTTTGTCAAGATTTATTTAAGTAATCTCCATGCCCAACCGGGGACTTGGAACTCACGCGCTCTACAGACTGAGCCAGCCTGGCGCCCTTCTAATCGCTATTATCTATAGCAACTGGCTACACACAACCCTACATGGTTCAACAACATTCTAGTCTAATAATGGGTTCTCAAACCAAGATTTTTTACGTCAGGGTAGAAAATGCAATCTTAGTAGTACGGATATCCAGAAAGACATTAACTTAAGGATCTTAAGAAGAAATGTAAAGTGCCTAGTAGTCTGACCCAGAGACAAATGACCAGCTGACAGTTTGGTATAAGCATTTTGTCACTGCTCAATGTGGCTAAATCTAGGAGACGCTGAAGACATGTCTAGAGTAAGATCGATTTGTATTTCAAAGACCGCATTCCAACTTCCAGCTCTAAACTCAAACAAATAAGTGAAGACCACTTAAAATTTGGAAGGAATCCTCTTCATTTTACGGGGAGGGCTAGGACTCCGATTACTTTCCTGTGGCACGATCATGACCACGGCTACAAGAGTTCTCGTAGCTTCTGCTGACCTCCCAAACACAGGACTCTGAAGTGAGACTTACTGCAGAAGAAATAGAGGATCAATCTACACCTCCTTAACATGCCAAGTCAATATTTGATAAATTGAGTTCTAGAAGATTTGGATCTTTATGGCCAGACAAGCAACCCCCCCTTTTTTTTTTAAGATTTTTATTTATTTGACAGAGAGAGAGAGACAGCGAGAGAGGGAACACAAGCAGGGGGAGTGGGAGAGGGAGAAGCAGGCTTCCCGCTGAGCAGGGAGACCTATGCGGGGCTCGATCCCAGGACCCTGGGATCATGACCTGAGCCAAAGGCAGACGCTTAACGACTGAGCCACCCAGGCACACCGCCCCCCACCCTTTTTTTTTTTTTTTAATTTCGGAAGTATACCAGCAGCAGTCTTGGCCACACTTACCTTGCTTAAAAAACAAAACAAAACCAAAAAAACCCATATCTGACCTGCTCCAAGCAACACCGTGGACTATATTAGCTGAAATTATTCCATTCTTAGCCACCCCCATCCATTGTCTAAATCAGGAGTTGGCAAACTACTGTGCCTATTTTTGACTTATTGGAACACAGCCACATCCACTGGTTTACATCTTGCCTGGGGCTGCTTTTAAACTGCAAAGACAGAGACCCACTGGCCCTCAAAACCCTAAAAGATTTATTCTCACCTTTCAAGAAAGTTTGTTGACCCTTGGCCTCTAGCACGCATTATGCCATGTACTTTAACATATTTTCGTGCTGTTCATTGTGCTTCTGACAAGCCTGAGGGCTGAGACTCCTTTCTGGAAGTGAGCTAAGACCCCAGACCCTTGTTCGCAGCTGGATCCTTTCAAGGTTTCAAGCTGCTATGTTTCCCTGCAGGAACCTTCACGGTATCTTCGTTTGGCTGCTCTAGGCTACTTTGGTTCTCCTGTTGCTTAAGAGACCCAGAACCATTAGAGACAGGTCCTAAGTGGTGATATTTTATGGTTTAACATCATCTCTCATTCTTCTGAAGTGTCGAGCCTTGAACAAGGGCACATGAGAATCACGCATATGCAGGGAAGTAGTACGGAACTACCTCTCTCTCCCTCTTCCTTCCAGGTGGAAGAAGCTAGACCACGTTTCTTGGAAAAGGAGTTTCCTTTCCTCAAAAGAAAATCCATCATTAATTTGCCTACTGATTACATCCAGATCAGTAGGTTTCAAAAAAATGTAAGGCGATGACTTCGCTGAACAGACCCCTGGGGGTTTGGGGATCACAAGCTCTGGTTAACTAGAGGTCAACCAGAGGACTGCCCTCAAAATCCACTTACCAAACTCCAGTTTGTCTTGGTTATTGGCCACGGCATGGATAAGCCCGATGGTGCCACAGGAGTTGCCAATGGTCTGCTTCATGAAGTACACCTTAGGACTGACTTCTTGTCCCTTCAGCTCTTCAATCTGTTTTTTCCTGAAGTTCTCATGCTGTGAATATAAAACATTTTTTTAGATCTCATGAAAATGCAAAGCCCTAACAGACGGCAGCACAGCGAGTTCTACCACCTAAATGGAAACACAAGTGGGATGTGTGACCAGGAGCCTTGGTTCTAGGTGCTGGCCAGCACCCAGAGGATCGCCTGTCTGCGTCCCACACCCACGCCAGCCCGTAGGGTTCTGAGAGGTTCTGAGACTCCACCCTGATGCTGCAGTGCAGTCATGGCCTTGGATGTTGCCCAAGGATTTGTCTAGACACCACTGCAACCTTTTAGCTTGAAAATGTGTGGTGTCCTGAAGTCAGAAAAACAGGCACGTTCATTTTTTTTTGTCCTTAAACCACCACCACCAACTATATTTCACACAGGACCCCAATCAAGCTTTGGTCAATTTAACATCCTAATAAACACCAGCCAGTCTATATCCCAGTATTCTTTAAAGTTCTACTTCTACTGTGTCCAAGTGTACTTCTTTTCAATAACAAATACAAAACAAGACTTAGCTGCTGAAAAGAACAATTTTAAGAAATTATTCCCTCACTTTTTTTTTGGAAGGAAAGACAACTGACCTAGGGTTCTGGGCTGTGATTCCACAAAATCTTCTCACCCTACAAGAGAAGATGTGACACTTGCCTGTCCTTGTCAACAATACATTTTGAGGACAGATTAACAATGGGAGGAGGGATCAGTAAATGAATGAGACTAGAGATAGTTTTCCTCAAAGAATCCATCTGCTCTTTGTATAGTAATTTAGGGGGCTTGTCTGGACCTTTCACTAATGGATTTTAGACCTTAAAGGTAGGACTTCTCAGTTAAAGCACGGTACTGCTACCATAGAAACACTAATGTGTCGTAACTAGTATAATTGGACAGAACATCGGAAGTACGTTTCCTTTGTTTTTGTTGTTGATGGTTTGTTTTTTTTTTTTAATATTTTAAGTAATCTACACCCAATGTGGGGCTCTAACTTACAACCCTGAGATCAAGAGTTGCACACTTCACCCAATGAGCCAGCCAGGTGCCCCTAGAAGTATATTTGTAATTCCAGTAGCCTTGCATTACTATACACATAACTGACTTAGTTTAAGCCTGGTCTGTGACGCCATCAGATGAGTAAGATCTCCCTACCTCACAAGACCAACTAATTGGAAGTTCTAACATCAAAGATCTACCATGTCTTTGAAATGAGTTACTATTCATGGGCTGTTAAGGATTTTCACTTTTCTGGGTTTGTTTAATGGGATAGCACCATTCTTTAGGTGTTTGAGCTCTTGCATGGAGCTACTTCTGCAAATATTTCATTATCACTTAAAATGTTTCTGAACTGGTTAGTGGACAGCTGGGTGGCTCAGTCGGTTAAGCGTCTGCCTTCTGCTGGGATCTCAGGGTCCTGGCATGGAGCCCCGAGAATCAGGCTCCTTGCTCAGCAGGGAGTCTCCCTCTGCCCCTCCCTGCTGCTTGTGCCCGCACTCCCACTCGCTCTATGTTCTCCCTCACTCTCAAATAATAAAATCTTAAAAAAAAAAAAAAACTGGTCCAGTTAAGATTTCATAACACTCTTAGACAAAATCAGATGCTTTCTAAATTAACATCAGCTTATTTGGAAATCAACATATAATCCTCAACTTTTCTTTGAATTTGCTTCAGTGTTTAGCCTAATTGGTGTTTTGTATCACAGACTAGGTGCTCAACAAATCTGACTGCCCCAGCTAGAGCTAAAGGACTAAGCATCCAGATCACTCAAATCAGAACGTTCTTTAACAAGCGCAGCTTGATCCAGTGAAAAGCAAGCAGTGGGCTTTTGAAAGACAAACACGATGCACCACTGCCTCCCAGAGGCCTTGCCTGGGAGTGCTGCTCAAAACCTCCGAGTCATCATGGATCCTCTAATAAGAGCGCTCCGACAGAGGCTCAAAGAAGAGAGGAGATTGTCTTTGATTCTGTCAACAGGGAAGCTAATTTGACTTGCAATTATTCGGCAGCTCGGGTTTACCTAACCAAAGGCTTTGGCAATAAAAAAACATGTCAGTGGGATTATCCTAATACCTTTAATAAGGGTTTTTAAATCACAATATCAAGCCCATTTCCTAGGAGGAATGCCTGCAACTTCCCACAGAACTTAATAATTTATGCTGAGGATGCTTCTAGAACACCCAGCCCTAGCATGGTGCTTCGGTTAAAGCTTCCACTGTTTGGAATGATGCCCCAAAGGCTACTGCCCCAGGTTTTGTTAATGCAGATTTCACCACTCCCAGATCGGGGGTCAAGTGACAGCAATAGGAGAGAAGACAATGCCATGCCAGTTAGTGGGATTTCATACATCGCAAGACAACAATTACCCCAGCTACCTTTTTATATCTGATGCTCAGTCTTTGAGGTACATACATCCATGCACACTTGTAGGAGGAAGACCATCTAAAGGGAAATGAAAAGGTGTTTCTAAAACTGCTTTAATGCCCACCTATTTCACTTAGCTACAAGGTCAGAGAGGAAAGACAAGAGAGGTGGAAGGAGGGCCCCACACACAAATGATTAAGCTTTTTTTAAAAAAGCACATCGGAGAGGCTAAAAACCAAGTGTGCATGTTGTAGGGAGTGGAGGGTGGGAAGAGACCCAAATCCACCAAAGACCCAGGAGTGGAGATGGAGCATTAGAGAACCTATTGTTTTGCTGTGGCTTAGGCAAGCCCGTCCCCCCCTCCCCATTTTACTGCAAGGTGGGAGTCTGAGAACCAAACAAACTGGCAGGTCACAGCCCTTAAAGGGAAAGGAAACAACCAGCCATTCCTTGGAGTGGAAGGCTCTGAAACGCGTAGGTTGAGGCCAACTCATGAATAGGATGAATTCCTTCTCTGGATAATGGAGATGATGGAACGGAGATGCTGCTGCTTCTCCTTGAAATTCACGGCAATGCTGAATGGACGAGCGAGGAGCCAGTAAATTCTCTAACCACCCATGAGTAGATGCCATGAAAGGGCGGGCTTCTCACCCCATCCCCCGCAGGAAGGGGGCAGTTTTGCAGGTATGGGCGCCCGGTCCGGGAGGGGAGCGGAAGGGAGGGAAGCCGGGAGTCCACACGGTCCTCCGCGCCTCACTCGGCTCTGGAAGCGGCGCGCACCACCCCGGGCCCACGCACCCCGGGCCCACGCCCTACCTGGGCCGTGAGGGGAAACAGCAGCAGCAGCGCGCAGGCAGGCGCGGGCACCGAGCCCAGAGCCTCCTCCTCCAGCCCCAGCACGTCCGCGAAGCGCCACTGGCCGGCCACCCCCAGCCGGGCCAGCACCTGCGGAGAGGAAAGACGGCGGCCAGGCGCGCCGAGACCCCGCGAGTGGCGGGCGCCTGCCGGAGGGCGGGCCCGGCCCGGCGCCCTCGGTGCCCCCACCCCAGCCTGGGCGGAGTCGCAACCTGCCCCGCCCCCATCCCCCGCCGGCTCAATGACACAGCACAAAGCGCGGCCCCCACGTGGCTCCCGCGAAGCCCGCGCCACGCCCTCGGGAGCTGGGCCCGCACCCTCCCCCCACCACCTCCGACGGTTCCGCAGAGTCACTCCCCAACCCCGATGCCGCGGCACAAGGAGGGCGCCCGGGACGCCGCTGGGTCCCTGCGAGACAGCCGGAGCTGATGCGCGCCTCCGCCTCGGCGCTCCCGGGGGAAGGGGACAGAGGCAGTGCGAGACGCCACTCACTTTGTTCAGCATCTGAAAGGCAAATGCAAAAAAAAATACAAAAATAAAGCCGGTCATCGAGGCAGCTACCTGGCGAGCGCTGACCTTCAGCTCTGCGCTCCCCGGGCGACGATGCACCCGACGCTTACCTCGGGGTTAATCTCCATCGGTTTGAGCTGCATCTTCGCGGAGCGTAGGAGGACCCACTATCAAGAGAAAAGGAAAAACAGCAAAAGGAGCCGCCCAGGCTGCCGCTATAAAGCGCCGGCCTGACGCACTTTAGGTGCCTGCGCAGGGGGAGCAGGGGCAAAACCAAGCGACGGGGAAACGGTCAGTCGCAGCCAAATGGGCACGAACCCCCCCATGCGCCGCGCGGAATGGTACGGCCAGGCCCCCAAACCTTGCAGTCTCACTTGCTGGTGAGATAATCTGGTGGTTGTGGGGGTGGGTTTTGTTGGTGGGTGTTCCTTGAGCGTATGGAGCGGTCGTTTAGATGGAGTCTAATTTTTTGCGAACTTTCCGGAAACCTACCATTCTTACCATCCCAATTATCGGAGAGCTCAGGGTTTCTGAAGCTTTGAGAAAAAGCCCAAATTCAACAGGTATATATTTAGTATGAATATAATTATCTGTCTCCCAAATCTTGCAGCAGTTTGCATTTGACCTTAAGACAATTCATCCTCCATGCTAAATCAGATCAGTACCGAGGTTCGTTTTTAATTGACTGCCTAGGATAAACGGTATTGCATTAGTAATGCTGATGTAATGTGACTCCCGGGGAAGAATTGGTTGGTCATGGGGAAGCTATAGGAACCTTGCGGATGTGACCATAATTTAAGACAGAGAGGGGGCAGGCGGTCGGAGACTTTAGGACACAGATCCAAGGAAAAGAAAGGTACGATTTCGAGACGAGAGGGTGTAAAAGAAAACACATTTTTAAAAGAACGGGAGGCTTTGAAAAATAAAATTCAGTGGAATATTCACAGTGAAGGAGAAAGAGAATGGCAACCAAAGGAACGACTGTTCTCTAATGAGCTCAGGTGGGGCTTGTATTTCCTACCAGCATATGCAAAAGATGGAGAGAAAAAGCATATGCGGAAGAATGAATAAAAAGAAGGACAAAAATCTCTAAGAATAGTGTCAGGAGAGCTAAACCTGAGAATGAAATGGGGCTTGCAGAAACGCTAAGGAGTCAAGAAGGTTGTTGTTGTTTTAATATGCTCATAACAAAATAATGATAATGGTGAAAGAATAGACCTACTGTTTAGGGGGTCCCAGGTTAATAGATGGCAGAGAGAAGAGAGGGAATTTACATTTTTTTGGAATTATTACCTCTACAGTGGTTCAGTGGACAGATCTTTTGCATGTCATCTCCGTAATCCGTAGAGGATCCAATGAAAAAATTTACTAGTTCAACTTCACAGATTAGAATTCCTGGCTTAGAGAAGTCAATTTGCTTATGATCACAAAGAAAAATGAAACAGAAGTAAAGCCTAGTAAGTTGGGCACTAAGATCCCATTCTCTCTCCAAGTTAACATTCCATTCCACTTCTATCTTCTCCCATTTTTACCATTAGAAAAATGACCTTCACCCAGAAAAAATGAGAGAGAAACATTAGGAAGAAGAATCTAATGGATGAATTTTATCATCTCTAAACTATGCCTCAACAAGTTGTTTTTTAAAAAGAAGAAGAAGAAGAAGACGACGACTTGAAAGCCAAGACAGGTGAATAGTTCACCTGGCTATGCTGAATGAATTCTTGCCTTTAGACAGAGACGAATTACATCCCAGTTAACTTTATTTATTCAACAAATACTGATTAAGTATCTACTATGTGATGGGCACTGAGCTTAGAATTGGAATATAAAGGTAAACACAGTAGTAAATAAACACGAAACTTCCCTCATGGAGATTTTAATCAGTAATAAGAGTGATATGAAGGCAAGTAGAGCTTAGGAGCACCTTATCTCGTGTGAAGAATCAGGAAGGCTTCCCGTAGGAAGTGACATTTAAGATAAGGGCTGATGGGCAGGGAGAAGTTAGCATGTGACAGTTATTACCAAAATAAATAGTAAAAATGGTCATGAAAACACTAGAGAAATCTCTGTGAAAGGCATTTATTCACTCACAATAAATATATATCAAGGGCCTACTGTGTGCCAGGAAGCATCAGAGCAATGAATAAACTCCCTGCTCACAAGGAGATGCCAGAGACCGAACAAAAACAAACCTTACTGATCTTTAGAAAGCGGGGGAGGGGTGTATTGCTGAAACTGCAGGCCAGGAGATTTGATGTCAGTCTTTAGCAAAATTCTAGGAGCCTTGGGAAAATAGAATGGCTGCATTTAGAACAAGTTATGCCAGCCAGCACTTCTCTCCTTTTCCATTGGAGTCACCGGCTAGAAGAACAGGCAAAACATTCCCCATTGTATTCTTCATGCTGCCTGGGTTGGCATCAATTGATATCATAGTTGGGGTGGTTTTATAACTTACTTAGTTATTCTACCTTAAAAAAAAAAGTGCTGCTGAATGGAGTCATTTCAACCTGCAGCCACCTGGCAAGTGTTTTAACCCTTGTTTGTGCGGTTTTATTGGAGCAGAAATAGAGTGCATGCATGCAAGCAAGAATAAGTAATCTGAAAGGCAGAATTATGAGATTTAGAAAAATGAATTAAAAATAAAGATGAGGGGTGCCTGGGTGGCTCAGTCGTTAAGCGGCTGCCTTCGGCTCAGGTCATGATCCCAGGGTCCTGGGATCGAGCCCCGCATCGGTCTCCCTGCTTGGTGGAGAGCCTGCTTCTCCCTCTCCCACTCCCCCTGCTTGTGTTCC